CTCGACGATCGAACGATCGATCGGCAAAGTTCGCAGAGGGAAAGATCAACGTCACCGATACACGGATTCGTCGCTGAGAACGAAACCGGCACTCGAACGAATTCTCTGTTTGTTTTTTTCTTTTCTCCAATCGTCAACTTTCTTTCGCTTTTTCCTCCTCGTTGCTGGCTGGTCCCGCGTGTCCCGAAGGATCACCGGAATCCTTTCCGACAGCAACGATCGAGAGAGGGTCCTCTTCCACGCGAATCGTGGAATCGACGCGAAATTCGGCAGTTTCGATGATACGGAACAGCCGTTGAACAACGACCGCGCCAACGGCGACGACGACGACGACGAGAACGACGACGACGACAACGACGACAGCGACGACGTCGACGTCGGCGACGATACAACGGCTGATGCGAGTGACGCGGCACGAAGCCGCGCGGGATCGTCGACTAATCCTCCTCGGGGCCCATGTTCAACAGCATCATCTTCTTCTTCGCGATCTTGCTGTACTTGATGTCGATCGGCTTCGTGGTGTCGTACAAACTCGGCGCCTGAAGGATAATCAACACCGTGCCCAGCACACAGGCCACCGTGAATATCCACAGAAAGATCCGATCGAGCACCATCGCAACGTACTTCCAGTCTTCCTCCACCTGAAACCAAAAGCGATTCGTGATCGATTAAAATCGTTACGGTTAAACGGGAATGCGACAGAGACTCTCCGAATTCCTACGTTCTAAGGTTTACAGTTTATAGGGCGTGCCGTGTACCGAGGGAGAATTTCCAAGTTGTACAAATTTCTAAGTTCTCTTCTCTGAAATGTCGCTCCGTGGAGGCAGCGAGTCGTGAATTCAAGAACCGGAAGTCTAAATCCCGCGCGTATCAAAAGGAATTTTTAAGTTCCCTCGTCGCTCGAGGAACCTTGAGTCGGTCGAATTAACGTTGAACCCGTGTTTCTTCGATTCGACCATTCGCAGTCGAGGAGTATCGGACCGAAGTAAAGAATCGAGTTTCCTTCGTCGTTGAAAATATGACTTTGCCATCGAACGGTCGTCCCGTCGCTCAAACTTCGTTGTCCAAACGTTCTATCAAAGTTTTCTTTCCCCGCTGAACCGAATGTATCATTCACCGAACGGAGCAGGGATCGCGCGTATCCTTGTACGTATCTAAAAGCCGAGACGTATCTTTCGAGTTTCAATCGAGAACCCTCGCGACGTATACCAGTGCGTTACCCCAGTTCGTCTCGGAAACTGGCAACAGGGCAGCAACTGATCCCTCGTCCCGACGTTGTATCGACTCCTCTCGATTCCCTCTGCGACAAGAGAGGAAGTGGCCGATAAAACAGACATCCGATACTTTTATGATACTTTCACGAGAACGCTGCTACGAATATCCTTCTCTTTCAATTTCGTACAACCTTTCCCCGTGCATCCTTCTTTTTACACACCCTTGCAAACTACTATCTCGACAAACGAGCTTATGCTCGTTTCCCCGATCTCTGCGATCAAGTAAATCAACACTAAAGTATCCACCGCTGTGTCGTAACTCCCTCGAATTCTTCCTCTTAAGGTGGAAGTAGGACATATCGGATAGATTATATCGGCATCGTAGTAGACGCGCGGCGCAGTCGGATCGTAATGGGGTGGAAGCGTAGAGTGGCAGCCAGGCGAGAACGTAATGGCGCGAAATAGAAGCGTAATAGAAACGTGGTAGAAGCGTAATGGGAACGCGGTGCAAGTTTTAACGTCGCGATCAACAAACATGTACGAATTGCTCGATTTTCGTATTTCGAAAAGTAGATGCAAAGTTTGTACGCGAACGAAGATAAGGCGTTACTTAATCCCGGATCGCTACGGTCAAAGTACTTCTTGCCAACACCTTCGTGACATCTATCTTTGGCACCGAGCCAATACGCTGGAAGCGAAGAAAAGCCGTTGCTGGTTATATCGTAGTGCCAACAGACTATACTTCGGTCATAAAACAGTTCGTTTTTTTTACAGACCATTTGTCTTTATGAAAAACGACGATGACGCTTTCGCGATAATTTTCAGCGCACGTTTTCTCTTCCACCAAGAATCGCCGTAATATTACCGTAAAAGACAAAGATTCAATTGCCGTCGATCGCGCGTAAAATTAATACGAAGTTTCGTATGCTTCTCGGCGCAACAAAATGTATATTTTTGCGAGATCCACCGGTCGAGAAGGGTTTCAGTGTTTCGCGAAAAGTTACTCCGTGCCAAGGGCCAATTCTTCCCCTTTCTCGGATCCGGAGATCTCTATCTCGACCGTATCTCTACCTTTTTCTTATTCTCGCCCTCGTTCCTTTCCAGCTATTTACATTCAGAAACGTTTAGGGGTCGTCAGGTAGGGTGTGACCGAGACAAGCACCCTTTTGGAGATGGCTGACTGTTATGAAATGCGAACGACGAGATCTAATCATACTTTCCACTTCTATTGTACAATTTCACTGAGTCCACGCTGTGAAGCAACCTAAGTAAATAAAGACGCCTCGGTATATGCTAACGAATTGCTGTACGTGGTTACGGATCGATTAGCGCGATGCGACGAATATAGCTAAGCGCTTTCGGAAAATATAAACGATAGCCGCCTCTCCTCTTCCACTTCTATTCGCAAACCGTGAAACTACATAATTCGCGATGCACAGAAATTCAAACCGCAAACAGGTTCAGTTAATTGCACGCTGTATGCACGCGTCCAGGAACGGAGTTTCAGTGTACTTTGTGCGGGCAAAACGCGCACGATCGCGTCCATTTTCAGCCTCGGTCCTAAACCAGTCAGCGACGATTCGGTTTACTGTGGCCGCGAATCAAATGTACAGTCGTTCGACCGTACAATTTTTCATCGAACCCGAACATTCGCTCAGCGATCGAACATTCCTTTTGTCGTACAAAATTTCTAGTCACGCTCGACATCTTTTGTGTGCAACCTGTACTTAAACGTCGTTGTTGCAAGCGCTTCGGAGCGGAACATCGGGGAACTTTGTCGACGCATCTGTTTCGCGAAAGTTACCAGTTTGTCCAGCAATTGTCGATCCGTGAAATCCGTTCGAAACACCGAGTCTATGAATTCCGTCACTGTGCTTCCGCTGCGAGTAATTTTCGTATGAATTTTGAATCAGTTGGATGGCCCTTCATCCCGTTCAGATGAATCGTTAACTTATTATTTCCAGGATATTTCGTTTTCTTAGATTAATAGTTCGCGCTGATAACTTATTAAAGACATTCCACGATTCGCAACGAGGCTCGAATCGAGTTTGCCTTGGGAGCAACCGGAAGTCCCCGGTTGATGCGGTCAGCAGACGGAAATCAAGGCATCTCCGGGATCGTGACTCGAGAATTCGATGTCGAACAGATTGAATTTGGACCGTGGTCTCTCGCTCGTATGCAAATTCGTAGTAACGTGGTTCTTCGAGCACGCCGTTTCGCGTCATTTTCATCAAACTTCGCAGCCGTTAGGGGTTGTAAAAGTTCTCAAGATTGATATCTTGTGCAACGTTCGATTAAATTTTGCTCGTAGAAAGTAACGCGAGAGAGGGGCAGAGATGGAGAGAGAGAAGACGAAGGTAGTTTCTCGCGTTTTCAGAGCGCCAGCATTGATAGCAGCCTTTTTTACGCTCGAGTTTCATAAAACACGTCCGTAATATCGGAAAAGTGGAGCGTGAGTGTAATAATAGCGCCGTCAGCTCCAAGGGTCTCGTTAAAACAAAAACGATATTCCTCGACACTTTCTAGAGACACCAGGCCTCGTACACGAATTATCATATTTTGGGCTGTCGAACTTTCGGACCAACTTCCGGCAGGACGAAGCGATTCTAAAGCTTAGGACTATATCGAACTTCTTAAGTATCGTTCTCTGGCATAACCCTGCAAAAAGGCAGCAAGTTCGAAGCTTTCGATGAAATTCATTAGGTGCTAGAACAGCGTTGACTTTAATAAGGTCTAGTTAAGTCGTTGCATATTAAGCACAGTCTATCGACACGAAAATATATTACAAAGTACCATTTGCACGTCATTTTATACATATAAAAAATATTTTCTGTATACGAATGCTGTTTCGCGAGGTAATGTCACTTAATTGAACCGAAACGACAGTAAGAACCAGGAAAGAAGAATTTTGGAGAATGATTTCCGAAGTGCAAGACGCCATTCGAATAAACTGGATACAAGATGGATCCGTGAAACGCTGTCACGTCGCTCGTTCCGTGCAACTATGAAATAGGGAGCATAAATTCGTTCGAATTTACGAGTGGCCCGGACAAATGTCTCAACTTTGAAACGTGTTCCCCGAGAGGCGGACTTGTCAACGTCTGAACCAATTTCCGGAGTTTTACATCGTTCGCCAAGTCGCGAAACTTCGAAACGCAAAATTGAGAGAGCGAAAGTTCGCCCGCCTACGATTTGCTCGAAATTTTCGGATAAACTTCGACCGACTTATCAGTGATTAATTGAAACTCTTTACTGCAAAGAGAAATCTCGATGCGGTATACCGTGTTCCAGAAAAAGCTGACCAATTTCGCGGATTCAATTTTTCGACCGAATTTCTCGCTCCTCTAAATTCGAAACTACCCTGCCAATGTAAAAAGCCTTTCGTTCGAAAACCGTGCACTTTAATCGAAACACCGTTGCAACGTTTGGTAGGTTCCAATCGCGGGAAGAAGGAAATTATTTTCTTGGAAACTCGGAGCAAGATTTTACGTTGTTTCTCTTCGCGTATTACGGTCTAGCAGATGTACGCTTTCGAAGGTAATGTCACGGGTCTGGAAGATCGATGGGGACGAACGGCGAGCGTCTTTCGGGCTTATCGAGACTTCGTTCTTCTCGAATCCAACTGCAGCGTGTCGGATCTCCGAGTGAAAGCGTGCAAGGCAGCTGGTTAGTTCGCCTATTCACGCCAGGATACTATACAGAAGCTTGCCGTCGACGGTAAAGGAGTTTGCTCGAATAATAATACGCTAACCAGACCTCCGCCTCTTCAAAGAACTCGCCGGTTCTTTTGTCTTTATCGCGAGCAGACATTCTCTTTTCTTCGGTTAATTCGGCCGGACATCACCATTTTAATTAAAGCCGTGCTACGAGGAACATTAGAGGATTTCGAGGCACCGAATCTTGAGATGGAAAGCCGTGTTACGTTCGCGCGGAATCCGATACTCGCGGAATCCCGATTTCGAAACGAAGGCGACCGTTCGACGGTAACGAACGGTTATGCCACTCGATACGCGGACTCTCCGAAACACGATTGATTCGCGAATCCCGTAATTCGTGGCCCGGCTACTTGACGCGATCTCGGCCTAGCCCGGGACACATACCAGCTTTAGAATTAATACGATACCCTCTGGTATGCGCGGCCGGTTCATCCCGCGGAGAGAGAATGCGCATCGATTGTTTCCGCAAACGACATTCGCGATATCGGATTCGTCGCGCGACCGCCACGTAACGCTGTTTTCAATGGTGCACTCGCACAACGGCGTTCCTACGACATCCAACGCGTCGAAGACGAAGTTTGTAAAATCTCGCGAAAAATCGATACTCCATTTGGAAAGTGGAACGAAAGCAGCGTAAAATGATAAAAGCGCGTTCGTTTGCGATGCTGCGAAAAATATCGAGAATGGAAAGACTGATCATCCCGTGCGGGTCGAAGAACGGCCTTTTAATCTTTGCGAGTGAGCCACGTGACGTGATCGGTAATGGAGCTTGCAAATAACGGCGCGTAGATAGGATCCGGTCAACGGGAGCAAATTATAACGAATAAACCGTAGGTAGCGTGATACGAGGCCTGATAGGATGGCGGCAGTAGTATCGGATCGTATTAATCAGCCGGAAACACCTCGGGATCCGATTGCCGTTAATAGCTTCGGTTCCGTTCGTCGAACGTCGCACGATTTATACGTTTTCTTGTCGGTCGGTTCAGAGATTAACGGGGGAAATCCGATTGCGGGAAATGTAGGGATTTATTCGGAAGAGAATAACGAAAAATCTGCTCGAGAAGAGAATACTCACACTCTCGAACTTGTCCTTGTTCTTGGCGTGCTGAGCGATGAACCTAGCGTCGTCGATGGTCTTCTCGATCTCGCGAACCAACGGCTTCTCGAAGGTGGGGCTGACGTCCTCGTGAACGTAAGCGGGGCTGGCCGGGCCGAAGAGGTCGTCGTCAGCCC